CCTCATGCACCATTTCTTACATTGTATCCACAGTGGGATCTGAGGCATATCCCTGTAACCAAATGTCCTAATACTCCCACAAGGGAAATCACATAGGTGGTCAGACCACACAGGAGAAACAGACTAAAAGATGCTCAATGTCAATTCAGGTCACATTTGGCTGCCAAATGGTTTCCAGAAAAAGTGTTTGCTTTTCAGGATTCTCTGGTGTTGAGAACTGCAGACAAGGGACTATAAAGCTAAGTGCTCATAGCAAATGTTTAGCTTGTACTGATTTGGGGCCAGGGCCAATTGTAAGTGCTTGATGTGAATACTTTCACTTAACTACCACAACAGACCTGGGAAGTCAGTACTGTGACTGTCTCTATTTTTCAGGTGAGAAAGCTGATGCCCCAAGGGGCAATCCTCATGGACACAAAGTTTCAGAGGGAAAAGTGGAGGCTGAAACAGCAGTGGAAGGGGTTATGGAATTCCTCAGGGTAGCACAGTCACGTGCAGCTCAATGACGGATGTATTTCAGGAAGCACACTGTGCAACTGTCATGGGATTATGCAGACCCTGCTGACTGCCCATCCAAGCTGCAGGGTGGAGCCCACTGGGAGCACTGGGCTCAAACGTCCTCAATGAGCCCACTCCCTGGCTGGATGGTTCTGCATTCGAGGTGACCATCTGCTGTTCACCCCATCTGCTGTTCCCTTGCCCTTACCCCAGGACTCACTGATTGAAGGTGCGGCCGATGCCCTCGCCAGGTTTCCAGCCCATACCCCGCAGCATGGCGAGCCCATAGGCCTCCACAGGGACGGCCTCATAATCAGCCTCCTCTGGCATCTAGGGTTCAGGCAGAGGAAGGAAGTCAGCCTTGGTTTACACCGCGCCCTGTGCAGTACACTTGCTATAGCCCACTTGCTGCTTTTCCAGTGAGCTCAAGGGTGAGTTTTGCCATCGCTCACTTTCCTCCTCCACGTTCAGTCCTTCAGAAAATATTTCTCAAGCACCTATTTGTGCCAGGTACTGGTCGAGGTGCTGGTGATAAAGCAGGAAACAAAACAAACCAAAAACCCTTATCTTATTGGGCTTATGTTCTAGTTATCAAGAAACACAATAAATACTTAAGATGTGATGTGTTAGGTGACAGTACATCATACGAAGAAAATAAGGGGATGTAGAGGGACAAAGTAGGGGGTATCACTGAGCTGATATCTGGGCTGAGACCAGAATGAGATGACAGAGAGAGACATGAGGTTATGAGTGAAGTGCTCCAAGCAGAAAAAAACCACAAGAACAAAGGTCCTGAGGCAGGACAAGAGCCCAAGGAAGAGTATTGTGGAAGTCAACTTGACTGAAATAGAGATGCAGAGGCAGAAAGGGGTGGTAAGAGATTACTCAGGAGAGCTGAGCAGGAACCATGAGAGGTGGCAGCTCAATGGGAGGCCAGTGAGGAAGTTAGTGGAAAAGTCCAGAGAGATGCTGTGGCTCAGACCAGGGTGGTGCTAGTGGTGATGGCGAGAAGTCAGGTTCTTGATGTATTTTGAAAAAGGATATGATAGAATTTTGCTGACAGATTGTATGTGTGTATAAAATAAAGCAGAGAATCAAGGATAACTTGAAGGCTTTTAAGCTGAGTAAGAAGAAGGGATAGAACTGGGATCAATTAAGTTGTTGAAGGCTTTGAGAAGAGAGAAATTATAGAAATAAGGCTGAAGCCAAAACAGGACAATGTGAGAATTTTTTAAAAAACTAAAAAATATATATTTCAAGATAAAGAAACCTGAGGATATCTGAAAGCTGAAAAGTGGATGGTCTGGGATCATAGGAGAACTAGGCCTCAAAGAAGCTTTGCAAAAAAAAAAAAAAAAAATTGTGACAAAGGAGTAAACAGGAGGGTCCATGGGTATGAAAGACAGTTACTTCTGTATGCATAATCCATACTGCCTTCCATCACTACTCCCTCAATTCTTTCATTTTTCAACTCCCTCAATTTTTTATATCCACTCCAGACACACCACAAGTTGCCTCACCAATGGACACAAACCACACTGATTTCCTGCAACCATGCCATTGCATTGCTGCCATTAGGAGTGCCCACTCTGCTCTTCCTCCTCTCACTAAACCCTATTTGCCCTTCCGCATGTCATTCCTACCACTCTGGCCTAAGTCTCCATCATCTCTAGCCTGGACTACTAGTTTTTGGGCTTCCATCTTCACTTATTAGTGTGTTCTGCTTATAGCAGCCAGAAAGGGCCTGTCAACTCATAAATCTTAAGTTTTAAGTCTTCTCTGTTTAGAGCCTTTCTATGGCTCTTATCTCATTGAAAAAAAAAAAAAAAAAAACAAAAGCCAAAATTCTCACTATGGCCCATAAGACCTGCCTGTCTTGACTCCTCCAGGTTTTGACCTGCCCTAACCTCCCGACTCATTCCATTCCAGTTACAGGGTCTCCTAGGTGTTCCCTCAAGCATTCCAGGCAGTCTATCTTCAGGGTCTTTACATTTCTTGTTCCATTTGCTCCTCATGTCATTTACATAATCCCAGAATCCAAGTACTTTTCACACCTCAGTATCTGGATTCATTTGTTAATGCTTCCAAAAAGAATGGAAGAATGGATAGGCAGCAGGCCTCTAGACACACAGACTTTCCCTGCTATGCACAGGAAGGCAAGTCTGGCAGGAGGGGCTGGGGCAGGAGGGGGGGAATCAGGAGCCAGCTCACTGTCTCAGCCCGGGGTTCGCTGTCTGCCCTTTCCCCGATGGGGGTGCCTCCTTTCTGGATCATGGGGATAGCGAGCGTGGGGTCGACACCCGCATTCTCTCTCTCCTCCAGAGACTTCTTGGATTCTAAGGAAGAATGGGAGGGTGCAATGAGGTTCCACCCTATCCTTCCACCTTCCTCCCCTTCTTCCTTCACTAGAGCAAAGCAAAGTGGGGAAGGAGGGCACTCACCCTCAATGAGCTCTTTCACAGCTTGAGACAAAACCCCATCCATTGAGATTTCAGTGTTTGTGGCTGGCCCAGGGGGCTGGGCCAGTGGTTGTCTGCGATGGCCATTCTGGATCAAAGGGATCACGAGTTCCTTAGGGGCTTCTGAGGGTTTCACACTGATGTGGACACAAAGGGGTAAAGTTGGAAGAGAAGCATGATCAGTGGGTTCTAAACCATACCCCTTCATTCAGAAAAGCACAAGGGGAAAGCTCACCCTGAGCCCCAAGGCCCAAGCCCTCACTCTCTGATTTGGCTCTCCTGTTGTCTATGTTGGTGCCTTGTTGGTGCCTCGGATGGTATGAGTGTACCTCCTACACACATACACCGACTCTTTAAAAATTAGAGCCTTGAGGAATCAGTCCTCAGTTCTGGACCATCTGTTCATCTCAAGACCCACTTTCAAGGCTTCCACAATGACCCACAAATCACTATCTTCAGCCGAGATTCTCTCCCCAGCTTCAGGCTTTAGATCAGCCTCCTCGGTGATCTCAGACACTTTCCCAATTAAGCTGATGATGGCTTCCCCCAACCTGAATCTGCAACTCCACCCGAGATCCCCATACCCGTGAAGCCCCCGAGCTTCGGTTGAGACACTAGTGGTCCTGTCATTCTCCCCTCCTTTCCTTCTCTCCAGAATGCACACAGGTCAAGGTTCCCAAGTCCTAAAGACACTCCCACAGGAATACATCCTTTCAATTCCCACGGTCACGAGGCCCAAATTCCCCAGCTCGCCTACAAACTGCCCCCTTCTCGCCTCGACAAATTTTCTCAGGCTGTACTTCAAGCTTTCCAGGCCACTGTCACCAAGAGAATCAACTCAGATTCCACTCTCCTGCTTGCGCCTACCGCACCGATTTCCGGGGGATCCGGGGAACCCGGCACTTTACCTTTGCAGCTCCTTTCCTTCCACGGTCTTCAAGTAATCCTTCTCCTCCGGAACCACATCCGCGCCGTCTCCGGTGTCCGCCAGCCGCCTCCGGGCCGCCGTGCGACTGAAACTGAATGAAATCGGAGCCGCGGACATCGCAGCGGGCCGCAAAACATCCTCTTCTGCGTCCGCCATCTTACCCTTCCAGGGCCGAGGCGCGGCTTGCTGGGAAGTAGAGTTTGGGCTTCGTTTGCGGAGGGCCGGAAGATAAGTTCTAAAACTACCTTTCCCATGAAACACTGCGGCATCGGCAGGCGGAGGCGACTATGCGACCGTGGGAAGTAACGGTCACGTTTCACTACATTTGAGCAAGTCGCGCCAAGCATACAGGGAAATGTAGTTCTTCAGAGAACGTGGCTTCATTCTTGCCGGGCACCCATTCCTTCCTGTAGGCGTTTGATTTACTGATCACCTACCGTATGCATCTTATGTGTCCTACTGTAAAAGAAGTCATTAAGAAAAAAAAAATCCGTGAGTGCCAGTTGTGTATAATAACAAATAACAGACATGTACACAATGTCTTACAATGCCAGATTTAATACTCTACAAGCTCTGGATTCAAATAGTAGTAAAATAGCCCTTTTCTCTAGAGGCTCCTAGTCCAGTGGGGGAACAACGGCAAACAGATTTTTTTTTGTTGTTGTTGTTGCAATTTTGTGTTTTACTTTAATTCTTTGGGTATCTTACTTAAAGATTATATTAACAGCGGGCGTTCCCTGGTGGCTCAGAGGGATAAATCACAGCACTAAGAAGCTAAAGCCACTTGAGCATTCATTCGACCCCCACCCCGAGGTGATCTACATGGCGCAACAGACCTCTCCTGACCCGCCCGCTGCTCCCCTCAGCAGTGTACTTCGTCGATCTGCCTGTTTTGCTCGCCACTCTGTCTCTGGTGAATCCTCTCACCACACCTGCACCCCTGGCCTGTACCCCAGTTCTGTATGTATAAATAAATAAATCTCTTAAAAATATAGTAACACATTTTCAAACATAAGAGTTGGTACCACACCTGTCTATTCTGTGCCTCAATAACTAATTGTTAGTGATTAATTCAATATTCTTTCCATATATTGTGTATGTGAAAGTAAATATATATACACATACACCTTTATAATAGTCATAATAATCACACAATCTTGGCAATTATATATACACATACATATATAATCCTATATAACCAAAATACAGCTATTTCTAACAAGACATGAACTATGTCTTGGTAAATGCTATAATATTATCTAATAGCCACTCTATATTAAAATACCAAAGACAATTATTCCCCAAACATCTGTTTTCTTAGACGAGTTATAATTTATCATTCAAACAGGATATGTTTTAAAATTAATTTACATATGGCAGAATATACACCTGTTGTGCATAGCTCTGTGGATTTTTACAGACATATGCCTAAGTAATTGCCATCCAGAATACATTCAATTATGCTGAATGTATACAACAGGTATAATAAGGACTGGTTGCTTTCTTGTGCGTATATTAAAATTCCATCTTTTTGGCAAGAAGATTGTGAATGATATTTTATCAGAAACTTATTTCTGCACAAACAAATATTTTAAAATTTGTAAATTTAATATTTAACATATAATTTAAATGTTAAATAAAATCTAACTATTAATATGCTGTGGGTCAGTCTTACAATTTCAAAAGATTAATGAAATGAAGAAAAGAAAGTAAATAAATGATACCACATCCAACTAAAAAGTTTTTGTAAGCAAAAGAAACTACCACAAACACTAAAAGAAAACCAATTGACTGGGAGAAGAAATTATGGCTTAATATCCAAAATATATAAAGAACTCATACATACAACCCAATCAAAAAATAGGCAAACATTTGAATAAACACTTTTCCTTTTAAAGATTTATTTATTTATGCATACAGAACTGCGGTACAGGCCAGAGGTGCAGGGGTGGTGAGAGGATTCACCAGAGACAGAGTGGGGAGCAGGACAGGCCGACTGACAAGTCCACTGCTGAGGGAAGTAGCCGGCCGGTCAGGAGAGGTCTGCTGCGCCATGTGGGTCACCTCCGGGGCGGGGATCAAACTCATGCAGAAGTGGCTTTAGCTTCTCAGTGCTGTGCTTTAACCCGCTGTGCCACCAGAGAGGGCCCAACACTTTCTTTTTTTAAAGATTTATTTATTTTTGCATGCAGAACTGGGGTACAGGCCAGAGGTGCAGGGGCAGCGAGAGGCTTCACCAGAGACAGAGTGGGGAGCAGAACAGGCAGATCTACTGAAACACATTGCTGAGAGGAGCAATGGGCAGGACAGGGGAGGTCTGCAGCCCTATATGGGTAACCACCCTGATGGGGGGGATTGAACTTGTGCTGCAGTGACTGCAGATAGGTTCATAGTGCAGGGCTTTAACCCCTTGCACCACCAGGGAGGGCCCTAATCACATATTCTCAGGGAGTTGATGACATTCTGTCTTTTTACTACTGACAGACACATGGCCTGGGAGGCAAAATGACTAAAGTGATATTCACATCCTGAAGCAGTCGCCTGAGGCAGTGTGCATAACACAGGATTACAGAGACTGGGGCAGAGTTCCCTGAGAGTCTTGCCTCCGCTGGTATTTCACACCTGGTCTCTGACTCATTTCTGAATGTACTATAGAGATCACACCAAGCCACTCAGGTCCTGATGCAAAACTTTGTGGTGAAAACACAATGATAGAAAAAAAAATTCTCCTCTATAGTTCATCCTGAAAACAAAATTGGGACTTTCTGTTTACATACATTGAGAAAAGAATCTGTTTGTCATGTGGTGAAGGAAGGCTATCGGAAAGTTTTGCAGACACAATCATTGATTCTTCTGTTCATTCAACCCACATTAATTGAGCATCTACTCTGTTCTGCTACAGGCCCTGCCCACACATGGGATGTTGAGAAACGCAGTGATTACAGGTGTGGTTAAGACTCCAGTCACACAAGGCTGTGAGGCGTGCTTGAGAGAACAGAAGGGGATTAAAGTTACGTGGTACTACTTCGAAGAAGGGCTAAAATTGCAAAAGCATTCTTAAAGATGGCAGGAGCTGAAGTTAAAGTGGTGGGTAGAGACGAGGTCATGGCTGGCAGGGTATACAAGGCTTAGGAGTGTCTGTTTGAGTCGTGAAAAGATTAGGTGACATGATAACATGTATTTTTTTTAAAGATTTATTTATTTATGCATACAGAACTGGGGTACAGGCCAGAGATGCGGAGGGTGAGAGAATTCACCAGAAACAGAGTGGGGAGCAGAACAGACCGACGGACAAAGTACACTAATGAGGGGAGCAGTGGGCGGGTCAGGAGATGTCTGTCACGCCATGTGGTCACCTCCGGGGCAGGGGGGCGTCGAACTCATGCTGAAGTGGCTTTAACTTCTCAGTGCTGTGCTTTAACCCGCTGCGCCACCAGGGAGGGCCCAATAGCATGTGTTTTTAAAAATATATATATGAAAGATATGGTGCCCATGTACTCAAAACACAAAGAACTGCCGATCAGTAACAATAACAGGCCGGCAACCCTCAGCTGAGAAAATGGACAAAGGATATGATGAGGGGATTCACAAAGTGGGAAATATAAATAGCCATTAAGCATACATAAAGATTCTCAGCATTGCTAATAAGCAGAACAATGCAAATAAATCAACAGTGAAATACTGTTCTTCAGTTAAGTCAATGGGAAATATCAAAAGTGAAAACAGCAAATAGGGCCCTCCCTGGTGGCACAAAAAAATTAAATCTCAGCACCTTGAAGCTATAAGCAGCCACAGTAGCACAGCCAGGGAGCTGACTCACATGGCCCAGCAGACCTCTCCTGTCTCACCTGCTGTTCCCCTCAGCAGTGTATTTCAGTCAATCCACCTGTTCTGTTCCCCACTCTGTCTCTGGTGAATCCTCTCACTCCCCACACCTTTGGCCTGTATTCCAGCTCTTGCATGCATGCATAAATAAATATTTCTTAAAAAGAAAACAGCAAACACATCTATGGTAGGTCCTTAGATGAGTGTATTGCCAATCACCCATCTAAGCACTCATTTAGTCCTTCAAAGGACATGATGAATAGTAACTAATTTAAAATTCATTTTACTGGGCCCTCCCTGGTGGTGTAGCGGGTTAAAGCACAGCACTGAGAATCTGAAGCCGCTTCCGCATGAGTTCGATTCCCGCCTGCCCCAGGGGTGACCACATGGCGTGGCAGGCCTCTCCTGACCCGCCCGCTGCTCCCCTCAGCAGTGCACTTCCTCGATCTGCCTGTTCTGCTCCCCACTCTGTCTCTGGTGAAGCCCTTCGCCACCCCTGCACCTCTGGCCTGTACCCCAGTTCTGTATGCATAAATAAATGAATCTTTAAAAAAAATCCCATTTAATTTTAACTGGAGAAATTGATAGATTGATTCTAAAATTCATATGGAAATTCAAGTAACCCAGAATAACCAAAACAATTTTGACAAAGGAAAACAAACAGCAACCTTGTCAAGATAGTGTGGTACCAGCATGACGGTGGATCAGTGAATCAAATTAAGACGCTGAAGTTAGGGCCCTCCCTGGTGGCACAAGGGGTTAAAGCACAGCACTATGAAGCTATCCGAAGCCACTGCAGCACTTGAATTCGCTGAATTCTATCCCCCATCAGAGAGGTGATCCACATGGCACGGCAGAACTCTCCTGACCCACCCACTGCTCCCCTCAGCAGTGTGTTTCAGTAGATCTGCCTTTTCTGCTCCCTGCTCTGTCTCTGGTGAAGCCTCTCACCTCCCTCACTACTGGCCTATACCCCAGTTCTTGTATGCATAAATAAACAAATCTTTTTTAAATTTTTTTATAACAGTTCATTTTTTACATCATTTTGTACATTTTTTTTCCATCTCAATTGTAATCCCCGCGGGTTTCCCATCACCAAGTCACCCGTGTGCCATCACCATAATCCCGTGCACTTCCCTCCCCACCCCCCGTTTTTGGTCCCATTCCCCACTCCAACCCACAAAATGTCTCTGGTATATGGTTGTTCATTATTCTTGTTATTTTCTTGCCTGGTCCATTATACTCCTGCTATGAGTGAAACCATCTGGTATTTTTCTTTCTCTTTCTGGCTTATCTCACTAAGAATGATCTTTTCCAGCTCCAAGTTGCTGCAAAAGACATGTGTTTCTCTTTTTTGGTTGCTGAGTAATATTCCATTGTATATATGTACCACATCTTTTTAATCCAGTCATCTGCTTTTGGGCATTTGGGCTGCTTCCATGTTTTTCCAATGGTAAACAAAGCAGCAATAAACATGGGGGTGCAGGTATCTTTTTGAATCAGTGTTTTTGTGTCTTTTGGGTAGATACCTAGGAGTGGGATTGCTGGGTCTTAGGGAAGCTCCATGTTTAGCAGTTTGAGGAAACTCTAAACAGTTTTCCAAAGTGGTTGTACTAGTTTGCATTTCCACCAGC